AACAAAACAATGCAGAGGGGAAAATGTAATTCCGGGGAAATATATGTAGCATAATTTGGTTAATAAAAGATTGCAAAACAAACAAAACAAGATTGCAAAACAGAAAGCGTCAATCATGTATTATTTGGGAATAAACAGATGGTATAAAATTGTAATGAACAAAATAAAAATGCACAATTTAGAATGGTGATTACTGAAAAGGTGAGGGCAGGATGGGGTGTGGCAGACTAGAGGAGGGATTCAAAAGTGCATGTACAGATAAAATTCCATATTAAGAGAGTGTTTTATTTAAAATATTCTTTAAAATGTGTATTCAATTATATGATTTACTATGCCGGGGATGAAAAGGTGAGGAAGAATGGGGTTGGTTTCATAATTTAAAAAGTCATTTCTAGATCCATCCTGAAACACAGTGTGGTGAGTGACAGGATAACATCCATACACATACAAGGAAGTCCAGTGAATACCACTATAATTCAAATATATGCACAAACAACTAGAGCCAAAGAGGAGGAAATAGATTTCTACCAACTTTTCCAGTCAGAAATTGATCAAACATGCAATCAAGATATATTGACAATAATGGGTAACTGGAACGCAAAAGTTGGGAACAGGGAAGAAGGAGAATACAGGCTCGGTGACAGAAATGCACTGGAGATATAGAGTTCTGCTCATTCAATGATTTATTCATTGCAAATACTTTCTGTAAGATACATAAACGCAAGCTATACACATAGATCTCACCTGATGGAATGCATAGGAATAAAAGAGATTACATTTATGGAAAGACTCGGTGGAGAAGCTCAGTATCAGCCGTGAAAACCAGGCCGGGTGCTGACTGTGGGACAGACCACCAACTGCTCATATGCAAGTTCAAGCTGAAGTTGAGGAAAATTAAATCAAATCCATGGGAACCAAAATTTGATCTATCCCACTTTAATTTCAAAACCATCTCAGGAACAGGTCTGAGGCCTTGAGCACTAATGAGCATAGGCCAAATGAGTTCTGGGAGGATATTAAGTATTCGTATTCTAAACTTCATTAGAGTCCATAATCCTACTTCCAATTTAAAAACTAAAATAAATATTTTAAAACATAAAATTTTCCCTTATGCTTGGGATCAAAATGAATTAATAGTTATTTTAAACTATATAACATTATTTATGGTTACACCACTTGTGTGCCTAGACCAGAAATTCTTAACAGCGAGCAATTTTGCCCCCACAGGATTATCTGCAATGTCTAAAGTAATTTTTGGATGCCACAAATATGTGGGAACATCTATTAATATTTAGTGGATAGAGGCTAGTAATACTACTTTCTGCAACAAGTAACTATTAGACGTCAACTGTCAATATCACTGAAAAACCCTGGACTAGACTTACATTTCAAAAATAGATGCATATTAATTATGGATAACCCCTCAGATGCTGCTCACGGTATTAGACAACACATACTTCGTAAAAAGAAGAAAAAACAAAGTATGACTGCTCAAAAAAATGAGAAAAATTAAATTCTAAGAGGATCATGTATACTACTGTTAAACAATTCTTACAGCCTTTCTCAAATTTCATTAACTTTGGAAAGTCATATATTACCGTCTTGGAAGGAAAAGAATAAAAAAATTCACTATATACCAACAAGTAAGATAAGCACCAAATCTGTACTCTTATTCTTTCCTGCCTTGTTTTTTTTTTTTTAAAAAAAACAAGGCTTTATAATAGCATAGCAATTATTTTCTTGAATTTGCTTATTTTGTTCACCCTAAGAGATACCAACATACTATAGACTCAATTAAAAAGGTATCAACATAAGTAATACAACATTAAACCAAGTAGGACTTTGGAAACCACAAAAATAATTTACCTTTTTCTGTGCTGGAAAATATAGAGATGATTTTATTCCTGGGCTTTTTTTCCTCTGGAACAGAGGGCAAAGGTTTCAAACTGTGATTGGCTGACAAAGGGTCTTTGCCTCCAGTACTAAAAATGGTACTGCTCATCCGCACAGGGGGCGCTGGAGGCTTATCTTCCAGTTCTCCGTTATCAGACATGATTCAGAACCTGGAAACGGCCTGAAAGAGATAGAGGGGATAAAAAGTACATTAAATAACAAGGGGGAAAAGTTAAAATTCTAGACACCTAACAAGCCAGTGTTAACATAACGAGACTGTAAAAGTAAAGTACCATGAAAAAAAGTTAAAATTCTAAAATATACAAAAATTATAAAAATGCATACAAATACAGGCAAAAAAGCAGAAATAGTAGCCCCAATTAGAAAATGTTATCAATTTAGGATAATATTTGTAAAATTCAATGTGTAAGAAATGAGACCTGGATGTCATAATAGTTGTATGTGGCTGCTAACCAAAAGGTCAGTAATTCAAGTTCACCAGCTGTGCCACTAGACAAAGATGAAACAGTCTGTTTCCATAAAGATGTAAAGCCTTGAAAATCCTGTGGGACAGCTTGACTCTGTCCTACTTGATGGCAGTGAGTTTTGGTTTTAATAGATGAAAGTTTTATTTAAAAACATCCGAAATGCCACCTTAAGAAAATTAGTAAATGGATAGCTGCGCATCATTTGATAAGTGAAGTCCAGTTCACAGGACTGCCGTAAATTCTGGAAAGATTTCAGTAATATAGTGAACGTTACTCACTTAAACTGATCCTAAGAGAATGGTCCAACACAAGGACCAATAATATGGATTGAAAAACAGAAGCTCAAAAAGGAAAAAATGTGCCCTGAGCAGTCAACTGCAAGATCTATGTCTAGGAGATCCTTTTTTAAGGAGATTGTTGCTCACCACGGAAGAGATCAACCAATCTTTCCTTTTCCCCAAATGCATGCTCAACAGACAGCCTTCTGGTAACAGTGCAGCTTTGATATACTTTCTTAAAAAAAATAAAATTATTACTTATGTGCAATTTAATTTCTCTGAAATTCTTATAATCCATAGATAGTCTATATTCTCTTGTGAGTTTTGCAGATAACCTCTCATAGACTCTGATCAATCTGTATAAAATAAAACTGTACACCAACACATTTAGAATTGTATTAGATAATTTGTTCAAAGCCCCACAGTTAAGCAAATGGCAAAACCAAAAGGACTACAGAACCTGATTCTAGAATTCATTTTATTAACTACAATTTTGGACAGCATGCATCTGATTTTTAAAAATAAGATCCACTTTTTAGTCATATTTGCTCTGTCTTAAGCTTGTGATAGAATTTGCCATCAGTTTATATTAAATTATTGTGCTCTGTTTTCTATTGATATTTTAAAACTACATCTCTCACTCTATTTATTTAAAAAATTTTAGTGTAAGTTTCTATATACTGTTTCATTCAATAATTCATGCATCTGTCTTATAATGTTAATTTGAACGTTCATACATTGTTTTAGAATACAAATACTAATTAGTGTAATGTAACGTCTGATGAACCCCTAATAGTATACTGTCTTTCCCTTCACTCAACTTATTTTCACTTACCTCTCTTCCTTCTCATCCCTACATAACCATTTCCTTACTTTTTATAATAACGGTCTTATACCATTATAGTGCTTTTATAGCTGATTTACATTGTTTAGCATAATGTACTCCAGATGCAACCACGTTATACAATGTAAGTTATCTTAATTTTTTTTTAGTGTTGCATAGTACTTCATTGTACAACTACCATAGTTTCTTTATCCACTGATGGACATTTAGGTTGTTTCCATCTCTTTGCTAATGCAAATAATGTTGAAATGAAAATAGGTGTGTACATATCTGTTCATGTGATTGCTTTTTAGAATTTTTATCTAGTAGTGTGACTGCAGAATGAAATGGTATTTCCATCCCAATTTCTAAGAAAAGACAAACTGTTTTCCACAGTGATTATACGATTTTACAATGGCACAAAAAGTAAAACATTCCCACCAACTGTATATCTGAGTTCTTAGCATCATATTTAAATGCTGAAAAAACTGACATTCTCTCAAAAAAAAAAGAAAGAAAAAACAAAAACCTCTTTCTCACTCTGGTGCTTCAGTGGAAAGGAGTTGCCTGGCCAATCCAAAGGCATATGGCTCAAGATAGGTAGATATATGATATTAAAAGTAAGAGAATGTGTGTGTCAGGTATATAGAAACTCTATCTTTGCAAAGCTCTCGGTAAATCTCAAAGTATTCCAAAATAAAGTCTATTAAAGAAGAAATTTACAACATACTCCAAAACAATCATCAAAGAGCCCAGCAATTCTTTATATCTATGTCTCTCTCTCTATCGATCATCCATCTCTCTCTCTCTCTCTCACACACACACAAACACTTGTACATAAATACTCTTAACAGCATAACTCATATTACACAGAAAGTGAATACAACTACAAGGTCCAACAATGGATGAAAACAAAAAACAGAACAAAAAAGGGAGTGACTGACATAGTAATAGATGCCATAATGCAGAAAAAGCTTAAAAACATTAAGTGAATGAAAGTAAACAAAGAAGTCCACATGTTGTATGATTTCATTCATACAAAATGTTCAGAACAGAAGAATCCACAGTGGCATAAAGTTGCTTAATAGCTGCCAGGGGTTGAAGGTCAGAGGGGCTTGATGGAAAAAGGAATGAAGAGTGACTGCTAACAGCAACAAGGTTTCTTTTGGGGTGATGAAATGTTCTGCAATTAGACACAAACATGAGAATATAAAAAATAAATAAACACACACACACACAAAATATTGAAGCTCTGGTGGCCTAGTGGCAAGAAGGTGCACTGTAATCCCAAAAGCACATTTTAAGGCCACCAGCGGCTCTGTGGGAGAAGGATGGCAATCTCCTCCTGTGTGAGCAAAACAGTGGATTTTAGGCTATATAAATTGTATCTCAAAAGAAAAGAAATTAATATCTAGATATCTGTGTTTTCTTACTGTTACTACTACTACTATCATCATCATTAATGTAAGATACTATGGCAGATTTAATTATAAAGATACTATCACATCCCAGAAAGTATTTCTCACTCAGCATTTCTCATACTGAAAGAAATGAAAAACAACAATTCAAGCTTCAAGTTGCAATACTGAAAGACACTATGGGAAAAACCTTGAAACATCCAAAGAAGATGGAGGCAACACAGTCACTGTATAAAAAGAAGTGGTCAACACTGAAATGTTTCAGATATGGCATATGATAAAGAGCCAATGGTGATGACCAAAGAAGTTCAAGCTGCTTTGAAGGTATTGGCAAGAAGTAAGGCTCCAGGAATCAATGGGATACTGACATGTTCCAAATAACAGATATAATGCTGAATATGCTCAGTTTGTGTCAGGGATCCTGGAAGATAGCTAGCTACAAGACCAACTGACTGGAAGAGATTCATATTTATTCTCATTCCTAAGAAAGGTAATCTAAGAGAATGTGGAAATTATCAAATAATATCATTAATGCCACATGCAAGCAAAATATTGCTGAAGATCATTTAAAAAATGGCTAGAATGGTATACTGACAGAACTGCCAGAAGTTCAAGCTGGATTGAGAAGAGGCTGTGCAACCAAGGATCACTGCTGATGCCAGATGGATCCTGGATGAAAGCAGAGAATACCAGAAGAATGTTATTTGTCTTTTACTGACTGTACAAAAGCATTTGACTGTGTGAATCATAGCAAGCTATAGCTAACAATGGGAATAATGGGAATTCTCAAATACTTACTTATGCTTATATGAAATCTATAACCAGATCAAGAAGCTGTGGTCTGAACAAAGCAAGGAAACAACAAAGGACTTAAAATCGGTAAAGGTATGTGTCAGGGCTATCCTTTCTCCATACCTAGTCAAGCTAGATGCTGAGTAAATTATATGAGAAGCTGGACTTTATGAAGAATGTGGCATCAGGATTAGAGGAAGACTTATCAACAACCTATGTAATTCAGATGACATACTCTTGCTTGTTAAAAGGGAAGAGGACCTGAAGCATTTATTGCAGAGGATCAAGCAAGGACATAACAAAAAATCACCACCACTGAGCCAACAGGGAACAAACATCATGACAGATGGAGAATAAATTTAAGATGTCAACAATTTTGTCTTACTTGGATCTACAAACACCCTGGGTACTAGCAGTCAGATCAGGAGACATTTTGCATTGGAAAAGTCTGTCAGGAATCTTTCCAAAGTACCGAAGAGCAATGAACATCATTAGTTTAAAAGACTAAAGAGCACCTAATTCAAGGCAGCTCTGGTCCCCAGTGGCAAGAAGCAGTACTGCAATCCCACAAGTATGTGGTTCAAATCCACCAGATGCTCTGCTGGAGAAGGATGGGCAATCTCCTCCTGTATCTGTCAGATCTGATACATACACACAAAATAATTAAAAATTAAAAAACAAAAAAAAATACCATCTTGAAGAGCACCTAATTCAAGTCATGGTCTTTTCAATCACCTGCTATAACTGTGAGAGCTGGACAACGAAGAAGGATGACAGAAGAAGTGATGCTTTTGAATTGTGTGATGTTGGTGAAGAGTGCTGACTATCTCATGGACTACCAAAAGAACAAACAGATAAGTCTTGTAGAAAGCACAACCAGAGTGCTCCTTGGAGGCAAGGACAGTAAAGCTTTGTCTCACAAATTGTGGACATGTTACTAGGTGCTGTCAAGGTGAGTACAACTCAAAGCGACCCTATGAACAATGATTTGAATACTGTCCTGTCCTTTGCCATCCTCATAATCTTTGACGCTTGAATGTCAGCCCACCTAGTTGAGGGTATTCCTCTTTCAATGCCCCTCCACTTTTTCCAAGCATGTTATCCCTCTCCAAGGACTAACTTTTCGGGAGCTCTGGTGTCCTAGTGGCAAGGAGCTGCAACTACAATCCCAGAGGCGCACAGTTCGAATCCACCAGATGCTCTGCCGGGTGAAGGAGGGACAATCGCCTCCTGTACCAGTCAGATCTGATTTGATGGTACACTCACACAAAAATAATAAAATTTTAAAAAAAGGACTAACTTTTCCTAGCAACATGTCTAAAGCATGGGAGATGAAGCTTCAGCATCTTTGTTCTTTTGGCAAGAAAGAAAGGCCTTCAATA